CGTTGATCATCTGGATTGGTGTGTAGAAGCCGGAAATGAGCAGCCCTACATTGATTTGACCCGAAACTTTTACGGGAACGGCATGAGTTGCGGTCGTGGTTTGATTTCAGACAAAAGATGCGCAATCCTTTCTCTCGACACATCTTCAAGCGTTCGTGGACGCCATATTGACGAAATCTATCGCACTCGTCCAAAACATGGTGTCCGCCGCAACAGGAGTACGTTAAGTAAGACCTTTCGGAACCAGATGTAGCGAGAATATGAGCTGAGGAACCTCGAGGTCTGGAGTTGCCAACTTTTTCCACGGTAGTTGCTCTCGGTGCGAAAGAGAGAAAGGTGTCCACGACGTCGGCTGTCTCCTCGACAAATTCGATTAGATCCAAAAATTGTGGCTCTCTGTTAGCCGTCATGCACCTAGCGGCGTGTTCTGCCCACTCAAACTGAGTGTGAGTGGGTAGACGTCTCACAATAGCACTAATAGTCCGAGAAGCATTTATGTCTGATTCATACTTTAATTGCTTCAAGGTGGTGTAGCAGGTACGGAGCTCCCTAACTAGTCTCGATAAAGTTAAAAAATCGTTTGGTTTGATCGCAAGGCCATCTGTGAGTGCATCGATATGCGTCCCTCCTCAGGATTCAGATTTAGGCAGCTTTCGATGGCTCTTTTGGCCTCGCGGGAACAATATTGGTCCAGGTAGGAGAGCTTGATTGTTGGATTAGCTGTAGATTTTAGAACATTCGCCTCGAAACAGCGCATGAAGAGCTAGTAGCGGGCAGGATCTCCACTGAAGGTAACCAGGTCTCGTTTAGGGAGGTTGATAAGCGTGGTGCCAAAACTGTCAGTTCCTCGAACTGCGACTGGTGGCTGATCCGTCCAAGGTTTGAAATGCAGGCATCTGGCATGCAGCGCTTCCTTGCCGATACTCCATCTCGAATTGAACAGCCACTTCACAGAACGATTTCATTGAGTCCGGTTTCAGTGTGATGTCGGGAGCAAATTTTACCCTTGAAAGCTTGGCATCACGTCATCTTTATCCGCGTGATGCACCAACCGAACCTCACATAGTGCGACGTTCGAACCCGAAGAAATACGCATCGTTGTCAGCTCCAACTCCAGCTGTCTGATTCTCTCTTCCGCCTGTTCCAGCTTGGAAATCGCCGTGAACTTCTCTTCACCAGAAAGTGAAGGTGTATTGCATTCTGGAGTAGACATACTGTCTTCTAGTCAACTTTATTATGGGAAAGATAACAGATATAACGACGAAATTTGAATTGCACTTAAGGACTATGCGAACAATACACAGCTAACGGCAGGAAAACAACGCGTAAGGCAGGACCAATGAGATCAGTCTAACGACGGCAGCTAGCAGTAAACGGCGATCCTGTGAATCCAGACTAAACGCACGGTCTGGGCAGAAAAAAGCGGCTTTGGGCAGGCTTTTCTACTTTCACTCTTGCTTCCTATACATCTTGTCCTCGACGAATCTGTTTTGACGCTTCAGAGCCAAATCAGAATCACTGTCTTTATTTCAGTTAAGGTTTAGGAACCCCGTTCGAGCATTTCTGCTCAAATGGTGTCGTGGACTAAAATGTCCTTCGTACAAGTATTGTTACCTAATATCTAGCAAGCAAGATATTCCTCGAATCATTCCCACTCAATTCCCTCGGTCCCTCTCCGTGGTATAAGCTAACCAGATAGCTGTGTCCACTTTCGCAACCAATTCTTAAGAGTACATGAATTCAGTTTCAAAGCTGGACCTGTGAAATTCAAAATTCTGGTGCGCACTCTCATAAGCATTTTATCGTCCTACCGCTCTGCAACTCCTGGTTATGGTCTGACGTCTATATTCACTCCGGTACCCTATCATTTTAGTGAAACGTGCTAGGTGTGCACTCTATTTAAGTATTGTTCCGTCGGATGCTCCGTTTCCCCCTCTCCCTTCTCTCTTCAGCTGGGTACTACGCCACACTGCTGCATATCGCCTCTTTGTTCCAGCTTCGGTTTTCTTGGGCCTGCCGAAAGCTTGGGGTCCTCACCCACAATGGACAATTTGGCTCCAGCAATGGTTGTTGAGTACGGTTGTTTCCACCGTTTTGGCTACACGCGTCCGCAGTCCGGACCAGGTTGAGGATCACACGCCCTGCCTCACCTACAAGTTGTTTTAAGGTTAGGTGTCTAGCGTGTAGTCAGTCCCACATCAAAGCGACCAACGACTAATTAATCTAAGTAGTCCAAGCACTCGCTTGATCCATTGAAGCCCCGAACAAATGAACTGTCTTCCAGAAGCGAGTTGTATTGCAGCATAGAGTGAAACATGTTCTTTTACCGACGTATTATTGTGACTGTATTCCCTCCTTTCTATTCCTGTCCTCATGCCTCCACCATCAGGCAGCATTTGTTCCACTGACCGCCTCTTCGTATTTCCCANCACACTGTGTTTTCGTTCTGATCCCCACCATTTTTATTGTCTACCTATGTACTTACACTGTTATTGTACATATACTCGCTCTGATCATTTGATCATGCCTTGTGCATGTCTCACGGGCTCCGTGAAATATACATCTATTATTATTATTATAACGTGGTTCTATAAATAATTACAGTATCAAATATATAAAAATAGGCACTCACGACTAAATTTACACGACATCGACTTAACTATCGCATCAAGGTCAGAATAGAAAATCAACAATTATAAAGGGCAGTAATGCAGTTAAACAGAAATAGAAAAAGAGGGAAAGCATATAAATTTTAGGTCTTGTATACAGCGCAACGAGTTGGGATATGGTGTAGCGCAAAAAATGGGTAAATGTTAAAGTTTGGATAATAAAGGATTCCCAAACGTTTTTGCACCTTCAATGTGTGCAACACATTCAGACTGTCAACCAGCATAAGATCCTTGGCTTTTGGTTATCTAACGCTCTTTCCTTTTCCTGCCATCACCAAAACGCCTGAAAAAGGTTTTTGGGAAAACTGAACTTTATCAAGCACTCCTTTCCTCGCTTTGATAAAGAATACTTTAAACTCTCGTATGGCACTTATGTAAGACCACCAGTAGAATACGGAGCCCAAATCGCGTGTTCTGCGTTTGTAGGTGATTGTAACTCCCTCGAACGAGTTCCCCGAGCAGCCACAAAGCTAGTCTCAGGGCTCTTCCATGTCCCGTACATCATCCGTCTCACCACACTGAACCTTTCGCCCTAAACATCCGCCACATTCGAGCGGACCTTTATTCTCTTTACCACTCATTCTCCATGGACACGGCCAACCAGTTTCACACCCAATGTAGCTTAGATACTCTTCGTGGTCACAACAAAAATCTTTTTAAGACTCGGCCCCGCACCCGAGTTCGTCATTGGGTCTTTACCCATAGAGTCATTCCATTCCCGCAGGAGGTTGTTGACGCGCCTTCAAAGAGTATGTTCAAAAACGTGCTCGATATCTTCCTTGGTCTTAAACACGCTACCACCAACTCTCATTAGTTGCTCCCTCTCGATCTGTTCATCTATCTCTCCATCCACCACGCTCTCGTTTTAAATGTATTTTTTTCCAACTGAATTGGGTCATAATGTTTGTTGAAGTGTAGTTTTGTGCATGCAAAAACAAATCAAAAAGACAAAAAACAAAACAAAAACGAAAACTTATGTAAAAAGCAAACCTTTTTGAAAAACAAATTGTCATGAATTTTCATCGTATCTCTATGCGTGCGTTATGTAAATTTTACTCCTGTGCATGTCAAAATGTGTTCCCTATTCAGATGCACATATTTGTGCACTGCACCCGTCATCTCTTCCCTTTTATGTTCTTCCTTTCAATTACCTGATTCCCCATGGAATCCCCCTAACTAGTGGGTCGTGCTCTCAAATTCTCGTTAGCGGGCAATACTCATCAATCAAAAACCGACAAACCAAGTTCCGGGACCATTGGGCTTAGCCTCGAACACATGAAATACTTCAAAACTTAAAGAATCGGTGACTCTCGCGTGACGAAACGGTGCGTTTTCGGTGAGTAGATGGTGACGCTCGTGCTGACTAGGAGGCAGCAAACTGCTTTTAGGAAAAAAATGAAAAGTCACAGCGGTTTAATATTAGTTACTGGAGTTAATTTTAGTGCGACGATCGTTATAAGTGGAAATTTGAAAAGTTGGGGACCGATAGGTTTTTATTTCTCCGACAGTCACCGAACTTGTTCAAAAGGGCACGAAACGATGACTCTCAGGTGACTGTGAGGTGACTCAGCAGTGACTGTCGTGGTGCATGGGAACTGACCTAACCTGTTCAGGTCAGGTCAGGTTGCACAGGACTGATAATGGCCAAGGCCAATCGAGCGTCCAGAATTCCTTCGATGGTATGCGGTCAAGTATGGCATTCACCACTGCGAATTGCCTTCGGTACGGCGTCCTTGCTGAAAGGGAAAAGAAAAAGCTCGTCTCCTTTCACCTCATCGGCGAACAAGGGACATGGGTCATGAGGGCGTTCCATATTACAATAAAGATACTACTCTGGAAAGAGCTCTAACCATCGCTCATTCAGGGCGCGCTTAAATGCGGTCATGCTTCCTAAATCTACTACTTCCTTTGGCAACCTGTTCCAACTGTTCACTACTCTGTTGCTGAAGAAGCTGGATCTAACAACCGGGTTGCAATGCTGCTCATGTAGTTTATACCCATTCCCTCTAGTTCCCTGGTGGATCGCCTCTTGGAACATGCTCTCTTTCCTTACTCCCGAGAGCTCTTTTACAATCTTAAAGGTCTCCAGTAAGTCTCCCCCTAGTCTCCTCCTTTCTAGCGAAAAGAGTCCCAAGTCTTTTAGCCTGTCTTGGTATGACTTACCTTTTTGGCCTTCAATCATTCGGGTGGCTAGTCTTT